CTCCAGTTTGAGACCTTGTAAAGTTGCTCCTCAGTTCCTCCTCAGCACGGACTACACAGAAGCAGATAGTCCAGCAGGTTGAATTTGTGCAAGGCAGCTTGCTGTGTTCCTGTTTCTACTTCAACACTCACTTTCTTCATTTAGAGAAGGAGTGGGCAAAGTATCCCCCCCATCAGTTTTTGTGGACCTCAGCCCACCCACCCTGTACCTTGGGCAAGTCACACTCTCTCAGCCTCAGAGGAAGGCAATGGAAAAAACCCTCTGAAGAGACCTGCCAAGAAAACTCTGATATGTTTGCCTTAGGTTCACCAGAAGTTGGAAACCACTTGAATAACCCACCCTCTTTCTATATATATATATATATATATATATATATATATATATATATATATATATATATATATATATATATATATAATTTTAAGGTGCCACAAGATTCTATGGCCAAGATCAGGAGGTATAGCTGTTTCTCTGCATCTACATTTCCCAATACTACTATTGAATTAGGCATGAGGAATTAAGCTAGTTACTGAATAACAAGCAAGATTACCTCCTGGCCCCTTGCAAGGGAGATAAAACTTGAGTGCCAGTTATGACTGAGGGGAGGAAGCTCACTGGAGGAGAAAGAATACTACTACCATCACCTCCATGCCAGGAGAGACAGAGGTCTATTGTCTACTGGCTGGTTGGCTGGCTGGCTGAAATCTTCTTGCTGATACCTCCTAGATCTCTGTCTGTGGAGACCTTCTGCAGAACTCTGTAAGAGAGGCCATTCTGTCCATCTCACCACCATCACAAGCATGGTGGTGGGGACATGAGAGAGGGCCTTTTTCATGGCTGCCCCTAGACTCTGGAACTCCCTGCCCCTTCCTTGTTATCCTTCTGCAGGCCAGCTAAAGAGCTTATCACACTCTTTTAAAAGCTGTTTTACCTTTTCTGGGTTCAATCTTCATCTTGGATACACCTGGACATTATCGTAAAGGGCAGCTCCTTAAATTGCCACCAAATCTGCCACCCCAATCCAGTCTGGGTAAACTGCGGGTCAGACCACATTCAGCTGGCTGATTTTTGAAGGTGAAAGCTTCTGACATGTAATTTGTTCTAATATTGTAATAATTTAATTATATTGTAATGTACCATTTCTGTATACTTTAACTGTTCTTTCTTTCTTTTTCTTTTTTTAATGTTGTGAGCTGCCCTGCATCCCAGTTTTGTGAAAAGGGAAGAATATGAAAAAAATATAATAATACATATAATAATAACTAGCCCCAGATATGTCTGTGGATGATTTCTCCCAGCAGCTTCATATAAATGTTGGATAGCATCAGAGACAGGATGGCTCCCTGGGGGATGCCACCATTAAGCTCTGTTTTTGAAGAGCAACTGTCCCCAAACATCACCCTCTGGAATCTGCCAGAGAGGAAGGAATGGAACCACTGTAAGGCAGTGCCTCCAATTCCTAACCCTCACAGGCATTCCAAGAGGATGTCATGGTCTATTGTATCAAATGCCACTGAGAGGTCTAATAGCACCAACAGGGTCACACTTCCTCTGTCAATGCTTAGACGAAGGTCATCAGTTAAGGCAACCATGGCAGTCTCCACCCCATATCCCGTACTTCAAGGGTGGAGTGAGGGCAAGGGGCAGTCTGTTTGGGAGAGGAAGCAGTGTAGGGGTTTTGTCATGTTTTATTTGAAGCTGTGGTCTTTAAAAACAACAACAATAGCAACAACAATCTGCCTGCAGGCAAAAGAAATATGTTATGCACATGGGAGAAGCAGACTAGAGAGCAACCAGGAGATATGGAGTGAAGAGATAGGCCTATTATCAAGGGATAAAGGAGAGACAGAATGACATAGTGTTTTGAGCATCGGATTATGATTATGGAGACCTGGGTTCAAATCCCAGTTTGGCCATGTAAGACCACTGGGCAATCTTGAGCAAGTCACACTCTCTCAGCCTCAGGGAGAAAGACACACCTCCCCTCTGGAAAAAAAAACATGCCAAGAAAATCACATGATAGATTCACTTTTGAGTTACTATAAGTCAGAAATGACTTGAAGGCACCCAGCAACAACAAGGGAGAGCCACTGAATGCTAGTTGTCCCCTAATTGACCTCTACTTCAAATAGTCTGTATCCTGGCCCCAGGCCCTGTGGGCTAAAAATACTGCTTCTCAAAGCCAGATTGGTGAATGGAAAAGCACACTTAATGTAGGACTTGATCCAGAGTGAGCATGCCAACTGAGCTCACATTACCTGGCTGGATGAAGCTGGAGGTGTTAATCTCTCCTAGCTTTGTCTGCCTGGATTCTCTGTGCAGCTGCAGGCAAGGCCTGGGAGGGAAAGTAGGTGGAGCTGCAGTGGTCTATTGGGATTCCATCTTCTTCACCAGATGCCCCACAATCTACTGTATTTGTGTGTGTTTATTTGAAGATAGTTGGCTGGGAGAGAATAGGGGTTATGTTGCTGTACCACTCATTCCACAGCTCAACAGACATCCTTCCTGAGTTGGCTGAGTTGGTATCAGTGATGGGTCTGGAGTCCCCTTGACTTGCTGTGCTAGGGGATTACAACATCTATACTTAGACCACTCTTTTGGGAGCAGCTCAGGGCCTCGTGACCTCCATGACAACTATGGTTCTGTGCCAAGTAGTATCTGGCACCACCCATATACTAGGACACACACTGAACATGGTTTTCTGTGCTAGGTGGAATGACAGTCATCTGGGTGTGGAGAAGCTGATCAAGAAGCTGGTAAGGTTTAGATTCACTGGGACTTGGAGACTCTGAAGGGGTGGGGCAGGGCCAATTAAGATGGTCTTTCTCAAGATGCTTATAGATCTGGATAAATGCCTGACAATTCTTGAAGAGTTCCCTGTTGCCTTGGAAGGTGATCCTGGGATATGGAAATGAACAGGGTGATTGAAACAATCATTCCTAAGGATCTTCTTCCATGGAGTGGAACCAAGTAAGCCCCCTGGTTCACTAAAGAGTGAGTGGCTATAAAAGGAATGGAACAGAGGCTAGAACATTGTTGGGAATATATAATTAGCTCAAGTATGCAAGTGAAGTGCCCAACTTCGCTTCGGAGATCTTATCCAAATGTATACCAGAGGTATAAGAATTCTGGCAGAGAATGACACTGAAACAGACCAAACTCCAATTAAAGTCTAGAATATTTATTAACACAATGAGCAAACAACCACATACAGCACACACACACACACTAGAAGAATGAGTGGGAAGGAGCAGGAGCGGGGGAGGCAGAGAGGGAAACCAGGATAGAGAGGGATATACTTACACCCAAGAGACTCCTCCAGACTTCTGGCAGTGAATGAGGATGAGTTCAGTGGAAGGGGCATGACCGGCAAGAGAGGGGG